AAAAAAGACAGGAGGAGGGGGAATAGGATTGGGGAGAGGGAAAAAGGTAGTTATTTTATAGTCTGAGAACCAATGGGATGTTTGACTTACCACCTCATTTTGAGATTTTTCTTGTTGATGTGAAGAGTTAGATTTTTCAGAGGTGAAAAAAATCAAATGATTCAGAAGCAAAGGAGAGAGAAGATTGAATAGGTCACAATTTAAAATATCAATAATGACTTTTGCAGTCAAAAGGGTAGCAAGATAAATGATGTGAACATTGATTACTTTCCTAACATGAATTGTCGATGACTACCCTTGGTAAACCCGGTTCACTTGTAATTCCATCTTCAAGTGTGGGAGCATTAATTACAGGGCAGAACAGAAGCAACTGGGAGGGAGAGTGCACCTTCGGGGCATCCAGGCGATGGTATCAGGTTTAACCTTCTTCTGGGCTCTTGTGAGGCAGAGCTGGCATCTACTAGTCTGGGCTCTGCCACTTTCTAGTAGGATGTTGAGCCATAACTCTCAAAGCTTTAGTTTTTTCAACTGCAACACAGAGATAACAGTGGTGACATTATTAGGCAGGGTGGGCTAAGCCATGCTACTACGGTTCTACTCAACAATGAGAAATTAATTATAATTAACGCTCAGCATTTTATAGTTTACTATCTCCATTTCAGGAAATAAGAGACTTGTCTAGGGTCACCTGGTAACTAGCCAGGTTTCAAGCACAGCTTTGAATGAACAAAATCCCTTTCTTGGTTCAGTACATCTCATTGATCTTACAGGTAGGGGTTGTAAGTACCATGAACAGTTGCGGCTCAACCAGGCTGAAAGCAAAGTAATTAACTTGGAAAATCTTGGTGCAGCCTTTTTGGAAAAATAAGCGAAAAGAAAATTACTTATGTGGCATATACCACCAAGTACAATTTTTAGAAGGTGCCCATTACACTTCGTTAATTGAAAAAATAAATTTTTCTCTCTTTTACACTGCTTAGATTTTTTGTTTTTGTTTTTGTTTTGTTTTGTTTTGCATGATCTACATTCACATGGGCCCTGGCCTTCTATGGATAAAGGCTGAGAATGTATGAGGGAGGGAGGCACCTGTGTTGTTCTTTAACTCTTGAGGCTGAAGCCCGCTCTCTTCCTCTGCCTTTTCATTACTGCCTACACCATCTTGCTGTGGCCCAGCGGCTGCTGCTAGTTCTCCTGCCCAGTGAGTAGAAGTGGGCATTGAGCTGGCTATAATATTTCTCTTTGCTAAAAGCAAGTCAGCGCTTAGTTACCCAACCCTCTCAGCTCTTCTTTTTGCCTAACTTGCTCTGAAGCAATGCTTTTTAAATTTTAATGTGCATGCAAAGCTTCCAGGGATCTACTAGGGCAGATTCTGATTCAGTAGCTCTGAGTTGGGGTCTGGGATTTTCCCATTGTATCAGACTCCAGGGAGGTGCCAATGCAGCGGATCCTCAGACCACACTTAGATTACAAATAGCATTTATCGGTTTTTCTGGCCAGGGAAAAATGGAGCATCTTGGAGCCATATAGTTCTAAAAGAGATTAAAAAAATTAGTAATAATAAAATAATAAACTGCAACCATTCACAAAATAGTTTACTAAAATGGTTTGCTCTTTAAAAATATTGCCCCCAGTATTCCTAGAATGCACTTAGAGTCAGCTGCCATGCCAAGATTTTTTTGCTTGATTCTCTCGCCTGTGTTTTATTTCCACATGTGCTTTTATTAGCTTCAACTGTGGGTTTTTCAGAGGAGCGCCTGTCATTTGATCTCCAAGTTAACCATCAGCTGCCCATGGACAGCAAATGAGGCTGACATTCTCCTATCTGTGTCTTACAGTGAGCTCTGGCCTTGGCAGCTGCCTGCAGTTGTGAAATTTGGTTCACGGAAACATGGTTTCTTGACCAGGGGCTCCGTGTCCCCTCTCCTTAACGTGCGTGACAGGCTCCACCCAGCACTTGACAAGCCAGGATCTCCTTCCTTGCAGCTTTCTCCATCTGGTTATTTCTGCGAGTCGAGGGACCTTCACTGTCAGCAGGCACTCTGGAGCATTAGCCCCAGTACTTTTCATATTTTCATTTCCTTCCTGGAAGATCTAAGCAACTGCTGGCCTGCTTCTGTCAGTTAGACATAAACGTCCCTTTCGGGGGGCGGTATGGGAAGTTCAGTTACTTGAATCATTTCTTTTAACCGCATCCTCTCTCCTCCCACCACGGCTGTGAACAGCTGAAAATGAAGCCAGACGTTGAAAGACCCTCAGAGAGAAATCATCTGCAACATGGCTTTATGAACATTATCCATGTCTTACTTTCTTACTGAGTCTCAAAGCCATAATCAAATGCTTTTCTGCCACCATTCTGACGATAGCCATTGTGTGGATTCGAGAAGCTTTGTGGGTCTCCGTAGTACACGATGCCAGGATAAAGAAGGAAGGTGTGAGGTGAACTCTCCATTTTGTCCATTTATGCCCCTCGCACAAAGCTGGGTGCCATGGCAACCACTTGACCCTGGAGGTGGGTCTACGAAGGGCTTTCCTGTAAATCAGCAACATCCCCAATGGGCTGCTACAGGGACAAGATAATTAAATCACCAAGACCTGTCACTTCCTCAAAATGCTTTCCAAGCACAGGCTCTCCTCTCCATTCACACTGCCTGCTCCCACCTTGGTTCAGCCTTCCTCCCTCTTCATCCCCTTTCCCCATGCCTTGAGGCCCGCAGTCTCTGAGCACATGCTTGCAAGAATAACCTTCCTAAAGTACTGCTTTTCTTTGTGCTGTCCCTCCACTCAGAAACCTCAGTTAGCTCTGCATTGCATTGGAGATCGAGCATGAATACTTCTGCCCATTTCACAAAACTCTATAATCTGGAGTTTCTGTGTTGTCAGCCTCACTCCCACCACTCCACAATGGGGCATACGTCAGTTTTTCTATGCTCTCTGCCCCTTTCAGGCTGGTCTTTGGGCCTCAGGGGTGCTCCCTCTGCCCAGCTTCATTCTTTGGGTCTCTCAAAATCTCTTTCCTTGGCTTGTAGATGGCTACCTTCTTGCTACTTCCTCACATAGCTGTCCCTCTGTGTGCATGTGCATCCCTGGTGTCTCCTTGTGGGTCCAAATTTCCTCCTCTTATAAGGAAATCAGTCAGAATCCACCCTAACACCTTCGTTTCAATGTAATCACTGCTTTAAAGGCCTTATCTCCAAATATCATCACATTAGGAGATACTGGGGGTTAGAGGTTCAACATATGAATTTGGGGAGGCACAACTTAGCCCATAACAGGCACAATCTTTCTCTCTCACTAGTGTATCCCCAGCACCTAGCCCTGTGTCTGGCTCACTGAAGGCAGGACTCAGCATAGGTCTGTGGCTGGAATGATTGTGTGAAAGAAGCTACCGTCTGTCCCTAAAGTGTGTCCTGCCCCTCATCCTCCCCCAGCATTTGAGGCCCAGTCCAGTCCTGCCCAACCTGGGAGGACTTCCCACGCCCTGGCTGACTTCCTTCCGTGACCTTCTTTAGCCTACTTATGCACAGGCACATGTTGCTGACTCAGGGGTTTAGCCTTGACCCCTTAACTAGAGTGGATGAGTAAAGCTGTGCCTCCCACAGATTAGGCTCAAAGAGACTGCTCAAAAACAAACTCCCTTCTCTTCCCCCAAACAAAGGTGTGGGTGATTTTCCCTTAGGAACCATCTAGATTCATTACGACTCACATCTCTCCTTGAAGAAGCTCCAGCCAGGTCTAGGGGAAGGGCCCACTCAAACTCATCTAGCTCCTCAGAATGGAGCTAGAATGGAAACGATGGGTTTAGGTACTTAAACCAGTAAACCTTTTTCTTTGTCCTGGAGAGCCCCATAGACCAAGATGGGAAACACCATCTACTCATCAGCCTTTCTCACATAACGGATTGACACATTTTACTACCTTGAAGTATTTCAAATCTGTGTGGATTTTGTTTTATTTTCAACCATTATTCTCTTGCCAGTCCTGGGAACATGTCTTCTGAGATATAAAGAGTTAAGGCTGGTTATGTATTGTACACATTCCCCGGTAACTTAATTATTGACCCAGCTTGTAAATCATTCATAGCTTTTTAGAAGTATCCATATACTTCTGCTGGCAGCAAACGGTACCCTGGGCTATTTGTAGAACGGAGGTTGGGGTCAGAGAGAGTGTGAAAAATTAAGAATAACACTTCCTTTCCTCCCTGAACTTTAATTGCCCTTTTAAATAAAGCCAATGCTTTCTTCCTTTGCTCAGTTAACTGCCAAAAAAGGTTTAGTTTCACTCACTATTCTCCACGCCATCCCACCCAAAGGAAACCAGATGACTTCGATTTCATCCGAGAGTGAAGTAGCTGGGACCAGCCACTTTGCCTAGAGTCCCTCTGGATTACTGCCAGGGCTTTAGGAAGGTAACGTTTTGACATTTTAAGTAACTCTTCTAATCATATCCCTTCTGGGCTGGATAAGAAGCAACGGCTTTCAGCTGGCCTGCCATTGAGGCATTTAGGCAGGTTTGTGGTTAACCAGGGCCACACACCTAGTAAGCAACGAAATGGAGTTTAATCTCTGTGGTGTCTGGTGGGGGGGCCGGCACCTCTGTGGTGTCCCGTATCAGCCAGGCCTGCTTACTTTCAAATGAGAGGAGAGGTCCAGTCAGGTCTCAAGGCTGGCGGCAGGGTTCGGCTTCAATGCCTGTGAAAACAGACACCAAAATAATCAAAGCATTGCATTCCTGTGTCTAAATAGCAGCTAATCCCCACTCCTTTGAAGGAGCAGAAACCACAGGTGACAGTCAAGCCCTTAGTAGAATGAGCCGTTTGGTTCATTTACCCCTAAGTCCTCTAGTTCTCTGAAATGAAAGGAACCTTAAAGATGTCTCAGTCCATCTCACAGAAGAGGAAACGGAGGCTGGAACCTGTTCACAAATTGTTTCTGGCTACCTCTAATGAGAGACCTGGAACCCAGTTCTGCAGTCTTCCATTCTAGTGCTTTCTTTCCATCATTACCATGAGTTGTTTTTCTCAAACGGGTCTTATGAGGCTTATTTACGCAAGGGTTTTAGTTCATAAAAGGTAGAAATAGGCCTATTTTATTCAACCTGGAAAAGAAACGAATGGCAAGAGTCTTTTCAATGTAAACGTTTGAATATTTAAAATGCCAAAAGATGATGTCATCATTTTCCAAAGCGAGAGACAAATGATTCTCAACCTCTTCAGTGAACACAGCCTGGTTCCCAGTCAGTTCCAGCCAAGCATGTCTGGAAGCACATTTTCTCCCCCTGGGGAAACTGCTGGAGGAGTCGGGGCAGCTCCTTTGTGCTTTAGAATTGCTTCTTTGTTTCCCTTGCACTGCGCAGTGGCTCATTGGTGTGGGGCGGGGAAAGAATCTGGGAGAAGAGATCTGCTGGGAATTTTTAATAAGCTTGGAGTGTTTTACAAGCATCCTTGCAGGCAGCACTACTAGATGCCACATTGTGACTACTCGTCTCCTTATAGAAGCTTGGTAGAAACTGAGATTGCAAAATCAAACTGCATAGGCAGGTGGCCCTTAAAACCTCCTATCAAGCGGCCACTGTCTTTCTCATCAATCTCTCTCTCTCTTTTTTTTTTTTTTAACCTTTGGAGAACATCTGTTAGGGCCAAGCAAATCCTTTTTCTAATTTTATTCTCATTTGTTACCACTTCTGGTCAATTGCTTCTTATATATTCCTTCATTTAGTATTCATGAAAATCCTACAAGGTGAGTTTTATCATTCCCAATTTTCAGATGAGAAAACAAGCTCTGAACAGATAGTGGCTTCCTCAAGTTCACATAAGCTGTAGTATCACTGGGGCTGTCTTCATTCCACATTGCCTCTTTAGCAAAGCGTGGTATCCTAAAATTAAGAACAAAAATTTTTTTACCTTAATATAGAGCTCTGTTTAGGTAAAAAGTACATGACCAGAGAATGTTACTGACCGTCAAGAGAATTCATATTGTGTGATTTAAGAATTCTGTGCCTGCGAATTGTGTGTGCGTGTGTGTTTGTGTGTATATGTGCACACGTGTGTAATGGACTGAATGTTTGGGTTTCCCCAAAATCCATCCATTGAAATCCTAACCCCAATGTGATAATACTAGGAGATGGGGCCTTTGGGAGGTGATTAGGTGATGAGGGTGGAGTTCTTATGAATGGAGTTAGTGTCCTTATAAGAAGAGACATGAGAGCTTCTTTCACTCTGGCATGTGAAGACACAGGCAGAAAGTTACCGTAAACCTGGAGAAGGGTTCTTATCAGAACCCAAACATGCTGGCACCTTGATCTTGAACTTCTAGCCTCCAGAATTGTGAGAAATAAACGTTCCTATTGTTTAAGACACCAAGTTTATGATAATCTGTTATATTACCTTAAACAGACTAAAACTACATATGTATCTCATCATCACTTTTCTGCTAGGATGAAGTCCTTGTCAGCTTGAGGATGTAGTCAGTGACTGAAGGATGCAGGGCTTGTCAGCTTATTTGCAGGGCAGAGCCGTGGGCCATTGAAGCACATGGCTGTGCCGAGTTGTATTGGAGGGCAGGTTGAGGGGTAGGGCATCTCCCAGAGGCTGTGTATCTTACCCTGGCTTAACCAGTTCACAGAAGTATGTATGAGCTCTTGTGTAAGGGAGGCCTTTACCAAAACACAGATGAAAGAAGCTGCCTGAATGCACACCAGAAATGCCACTTCAGGCTGCTAGGTTCCTGCTGTTCCCTCTCTCCATACCTTTTTGGCTTTGAGAAATTTGTGGGGGCTCCGAACCCCAGTTTCTTACCAGGCCTCTTTCCTCTGCCAGTTTTGATGTTTCTGCCAAACTGAGCAGATGAGCTCAGCAGCCCTCATTCCTTAAGGGGTCCTGCCACTCCCCAGCCTAACTTTGGTCAGGGAAGTAAAAACCTGCCCTGGAGTACATGTACAATTATAAGATTACTTTAAAATTTTGCTTTAAAAATTGTAGAACTGGCTCCACAGATATTGGAACATTGGTGTGTCCCTAAGAGCTGATGTAGAACCTGGGGTTTTAGAGGAATGAATTATATGATGTTTTCCCATTGCTGGAGTTAGGGTGTAACCTTTATCTGAGGGAAAACATTGTTTTATCTGACCAGCCCTGCAAATTATCTAATATTAAGTCTCCATTACTCACACTGTTAAGAGATATAACTGGATACCAATAGGCATTTATAATTTGTTATTGTTATTTTTATTTGTTTCATTTATTAACTCCAGTTTTATGTTGCCTCATCTTAATTTTCAAAGCATATGCTATTTAATATCCTATATTTACTCTCTTACAATAAAGAAATAATACATCAACTAACAAAAGATGGTTGAAAGATTTTTTTTGTTTGTTTAATGAATGTGTGGCCCTGGATTCATTTCTATCTTTGAATTGGGTTTCCTACGCCTGATCTCAGTATAAATTATGTTCTCTTATCTCTTTCTGGCAGGGAGGGTGCTCAGTGACATAAAGACTCCTTTGTGGGAATGTCTGCAGCCTTCTTCCCTTTCCCAGATAACCAAAAATAATTCTACAGTGGCCTGCCCAATTTCCTCCCTCTTTTCCCCCTCTCAGAAAGGAAGTAGTTTTATTCTTTTTTTAATCACTGGGAGAAGGGTTGTATTAATGTACACAAGAGATGGAAAAGAGGAAGTAAAGAGAGGAAAGACACAAGTGTTGGGGGCTCTGTTTAGAGAAAGGCTCAGGGGAATTATGGAGAGAGGTGCTTGAGAACAAATGGAGCAGATACCAGTGAAATGGAAGGAGAGGAAATGAGAATTCATAAATATTACTGTGTGCCATATATTTGCCTTCTCTGTATGGTTTCCAAGTACCTCTAAAAAGAATGTGAGTCTTTGTACTGGACTGTGCTTTTTTGACCACTACACCATTATGAGACTAAACCATGTGGATCCTGGCTTTGTACCGGTTATATGTGAAAAATAGTTCTGTGTCCCTTCCATTTACAGGGCTTTCAACTACTTTGCTCCAATTCAGAGGCACAATATTTATGGTCACACAGCATTATGATTTGGCTATCTTGAGGTTAATCACAGCCCTTTGGACGGGGCAGCAATAAATCTAGACATAACTCATCTCTAATTAGTCTGATAAATCTGAGAGAAACCGTTTCATTAGCATGAATGAGAAACTTTCTAATCAGAGTTTATGTAAATTGTGAGGCTGTGTGGAACTTACCCCAAGCGTATTGACTAGAATAATATTTATTAGATAAGCCTCAAAATATTTCAGGTTTGTTCCATCCTCCTGTGTGGAGAATCCTATGAGGATCACACCTGTATTATAGAAAGTAGTTCTAGTTTCTATAGAAAGTAGAAACAATGTTTTAGAGGAAACTGATTTTGCTGGTGTCTTTTCAAATTGTCATATTTTTTTAAAATTAGAAAAATCCCTACTGCCATAAATCGTCTAAAAGATGTGGCGCTATGTTTATTTATAACATAAATACCTTCAGCATCCCCCCTCCCCTGTGTGTTTTACTAGAGAAGTTGTTTATATTATTTATCAGGTTTAAAAATGCATTCTTAGGCAAAGTGCACCAGCTCCGCCTGTCAAGAGCGCTCTAAGTCCGGGAGATGCGCCTTGCCTCCCTGAACCGCCCAAAGCCTCAGAGCTGGGACTTCTCTCTCATCCTTGAAGAGATGATGCACTCTTAACTTGGGGGCAATGACTAACATTTTATGTTCATCTGGTTTTTTCTTTTTCTTAACTGTTCTGTCTGGTATTTGTCACCCAGCAAGAAGTTTGTGAAAGACTAGTTTTAAGCGATTAATAAACTGAAGGCTTGTTTTCAGTTTTTATAGTTTCCCTACTTTTTTTTAGAACAGAAAAATTGAAGTTTGTCTGTATTTCCTAACTTTTTCTTATCACTATTTTAATCATTTAACTGATTTTTGCCTATGCAAAGCCTCATGCTTCAATTCTCTGGCTTTCTCTATTGTCCAAATGATTTTTCCCTTCCTACCTTCCCAACACATCTGGACCTTGAACACATAGCTGGGATTATGCTAAATTTTTACGAATCCTACAAATATCACCTAATCCTGGAAGGTTCCCTTGATTCCCTTGGGTTGGGTGGAAGGGATTATGTTTTCCTCAGAACATCTTGGATGTTTATATTTCTGTGTTTGGCTACCTCCCCTCCAAATGGGTGGCTCCTGAATATGTTGTCTGAATATCAACTACCTCCTTCTCAGTGGGAAGTATCATCCAGGTAGTCAAAGTTAGAAGCTGACTTCGGTAGGAGCTGGGGTTGTGAGCTCCAGCCAAGGTCATAGGAGGTGGCAGGGCCTGAAGGACCAAGTCAAGCCGGAGTCCATAGGAAGTCTGAGGTCTATACCAGGGTGCACATGAATGAATGTGAAATCTAGAGGGTCACAAGACAGGGAACTGAGTCAAGACCTCCAAACCCAGAGTTTGAAGTTTGGGAGATATAATTAAGGTGAAAGAAGATTGGAGTCAAGGCTAGGATGGGAGGAAGGAAAATGTCTACGTATTTTTTTTAGAACCATAGTTACTATGTATTTGAATCCAATTGAAGGATAGTATGTGGGGCAGACATAGCTGAGGGGTAAACAGTACATAATTTGTCAAATAAATGAATGTGTAAACATTTGTAAAGATGCTTGAAGAATAGTCAGGATATCTGAATGTCAGAATAGAAAGTCCCAATGTTACCTAGGATTTGTTGTTCATGGTAGAGATATATATTTCCATGCATCTCCATACAGCATTTTTATTTCTTGCTCATTTTCCACCACTCCAATCAATACATAGTTAATCTCTAATCTTCTGTTCAATCAACAAATTCCAAGTTCAGTCAGTTATAGCTTCTCTGAGAGGTAATCAATACATAATTCTCTATCAGTCAGGGTTCAATCAAAAACGCAGAACCACTGTGAGTGACATAGGGTTAAGGGGGACGGGGTTCCTACCTTTGCACTTGTATGAGTGTGGGGGGGGGCGGCGATCTGTGGGTGCTGTTGGCCCTGCATCTGGTGTTGAGCCTGAAGTCACTATGGGTCAGCCAGATGGGCAGTTGAGAAGGGAACCAGGAGTGGATAAGAGCAAGAACAAACAGACACTGCAAAAACGAACTGGGACCTGTATCTCTCTCTCTCATCAACTTCAACCTCGATTCCACAGTGACTCGGGTGAGAAGCTGGCACTCTTTGCCATGGAGCTGCACTTGCACCTGGCCCAGGACTCAGAGAAATTGTTAGAGAAGATCTGGTGGGAGCGCGGGGACTGTGGTCTGGGTGTTGTGTCACGGTGACTTGCCACGTCAGCAGGTCAGCGACAATGTTCTCCAGCTGCCACAGCATCTGCCACCCTTCCAGTATCTTTAGGAAGTAAAAATACGGCAACCCCTTCACGTCCGTCTTCTAATCTGATGCAAAACGTCTCTTATGGCCAAGGCTAACCCATGCTTTTGCTTAACATGACGCAATTATTCTCGTACTACCTAAAATATGCTACCCTGTCCTGCAGAGAAGTTCTAGAGTCCTTGTATTTATCTTTGGGTGATGCTACTTCCTCTCAGCTTAGTCACATATACACCCCCTTTACTCTTCTGTCACTTAAATACTGGGCTATAAACTTAAATACCATGAACACATCTTGTGTCAGATGGGAGGGGAATGAGAGAGGGAAATTATATTTTTTAGGAAATCAAATAGTTTTGACCAAAGCTAGACTCAGTAAAACCTTTATTTTGGATGAGAGTATGGATGCGCTAATTGCGCTCAACCGATGACTTAGTCCCTGGGATTAAATTGGATATTTATCTTTTTTAATGCTATCAAAGCTATCCTGAAAGGAGTGGGGCTTCCAGCTGAGTCTAGGGAGTTCGCAATTTAGTCTAGCCATATCTGATAAATGTGCATGCATCTATTTATCTGGAGGAACTGAAAACTGAGATGAAGAAACTTTGAACAGAGGCCCCCTGGGGACAGAGGTTGAGAGAAGGAGGAAGGGCAGTGTGTGCCCAGCCCAGCCCCAGGGCTTAGATGTGACCTTTAAAGATAAGGGAACTGCAGTTAGAACAAGGAGGGAGTGTACTATGCCGGCAGATGCAATCTGCAGATGCACTCTGTCACAAAGTGTGACAGAGCTGGATAGTGGGCTCTCTCTACATTTCTTAGAGATCATCCTGGGTAAATGACACATGTCACAGCCCCATTCGTCATATCTAAGTTTTGTCACCTTTGGGGGATCCTGGAGGCAACATCCTGGGCAGTAGGTCATGGGCTTGGGGATGGTGATGGCAGAGGGGCAGCACCAGGCCTCCCGCAATGGGCCTGTAGGAAGTGACAGCATCAGTCAGGCTTGAGTGGGAAAACGTCTCTGAGACACCTCCTGGGGGACTCAAAAATAAATGGGAGACTGGAGTTGAGAATGGTGCAAGGAGAGAGGAGGGGTAGCAGAAGAATCTTTGTGGTGATGGAATATATCTGTATTTTTATTGTGATAATGGTTACACGAATCTACACAGGTGATAAAATTACATAGAAACACACACACAGACACACACACAAGTTTCTGTAAAACCAGTGAAAACTGTGGATTGTACTCAATGTCAATATCCTGGTTTTGTACAAGATGTCATCAGTGAGAAAAACTTAGGGTACACAGGGCCTTTCTGAACTATTTTGGCAAGTTCCTGTAACTCCATAATTATTTCAAAATAGAAAGTATATTAGAAAAAAAAACCTGGAGGAAATCGTTGAATCAGAATCTCTAGGTTTGGGCCTGGGCATCGATGTGTTTTTTAAAGCTTACTTGATGAATCTAATTGAACCAGGATTGAAAATCACCACTTCATCTGAAACCCTGGGGGTCAGGTTTGTGAAAGACATTTAGTATACAATCCATATGTTATGTACTATCTCTAGGCGGTTCTGGGGCAATACTCTGTAATCAAACATATTTATATTTCTTCAGCAAAATATATGACTATCCACACCAAGCGAGATAAATAGCAACAACTTAAAAACCAGTGGAGACGTTAAAGACAGTGTCCAGTTCGTTCCTGTGTGTTGGGGTAGGGGCAGGGAAACAGTACCACTCTAATTTGGGAAAAATTGTTAACTGATCTTATTTGACTCACGGGTTGTTATGAGACCTGAGGAAATATGGGAACTAATGACAGAGGTGCATACAGATTTATGTATGTCCACATTAATATTTGGAACAATTAGAAGCAATCTAAATATGCAGCTATGTGAAAATAGTTGTGTAAATTATGTTATAGAGTTATTGTGAAATATTATATAAGTATAAACATTGTTTTTAAAAGAATAATAATATGGAAAATTCTCATTATATAATATGCAATAAAATGGGTTTATTTTGATAAGTAAAATAATTTTTAAAAAGATAAGATTGTAATAAACCAAAGTATGAACAGTGAGTATCTCTAAATGGTAGGAGTGCAGGTAATTTTTATTTCTTCTTTTATACTTTTTATTTTAAAATATTCTACTATAAATAAGTTGACTTTTATCATTAAAAATAAAATAAGTGTTATTAATTTAAAAATATGCCAAGAAATGGTAGTATATCAAATATGCAGATCGCTAAATTATAGTTGGTGATTTTAAGTTATGCTTTGCGGCTACCAAAGTATTTAATCAAAAGGTTATAAACGTATTCGGGAATACTACTTAACAATGTAAATCTATATTGAATTGATAGCAATAGAAAAAAATAACCTATTAGGATTTATTAGTCCTCCCAAAATCCATATAGTTTTCTTGTGATGACAATATCTATGTGGTGCACAGTACAATCTATTTTGAAATTTTTTCTTCTGTTTCTAGAATTTAAGTAAAATAATCTGTGTCTATCAAGTGAGGCAAAACAGTAATGATAATATAATTTTTATTGCAAGCTAACTATATGCTAGTTACTTTACTTCTTTTCCTTTTTCTCTCTCTCTTTTTTTTTTTTTTTTTTTAAAAATTTAACCCTACATCGGTCCTATGAAATAGTTGTTATGGTCATTCATTTTACAGATAAGGAGACTGAGTGTCGGTGAAGTTAAGGTCACATGATTAGGTCATCTGATTTCGGAGTCAGAACTTCTAACACAGCAGCCCTCAAGGAAAGAAGTTTAGATTGCACTGGCATGGGTAATAAGACAGCATTCAAATTCCACATGAATAAGAGCTTCCAACAGGTCTGTGAAGGAATGGATGAAGCTTGACAGCAGGTTGCAGTGCTCTGTGTGAGAGCAGCTCCTGGAGCAGAGCTGGGCAGACACAGCCTGCGTCAGGGCCCTGGCTTTTGGTCCCAGCTGAGTTCCACCTCTTAAGTGACTTGGGCTTACTTATCCACACAAAGGAGAAAATAAGTTATTTATCTCCTCGGGTGGTTGTTCGAATTGCATGAGGTACAACAGAGGGCTTCCGAATCCTTTAGCCTTCTAAGAATCACTCTTCTCTCATATCCTGATCAAATGGCTCAAGCCTCCATCCCAAATTACTCGGGGCATTTTGCTTCCTCCCAGCATTTTCAAAGCTTCCCAGGGCATTTACATCCCACGGCCGCCCTCTCCCTCCAGTTCCCGCTCAGAACAAATTCTCGAGTGGGCCAGTCAGCAGCCTTGCTCAGACAATAGATAGTGTGTGTGCAATAGGGGCAGGTAAAGGGCAGTGGAATCTGCCAGAGGTCCTTAGACTCCTTCAAACTCTACAGTGGCAGAGACGCTTGAAATCGAGCAGACTCATGGTGCCCACTCCCCGCTCTCTTCTGATGCTGGGGTGTGGCCCTTCTCCTCCCAGGGCACTTTCCTCTTGGCCACCTCCCTAGGATGGGGTGGTGGTGGGGCCCAGCTGATTCCTACCCTTCTGCCCCACTGGAGACTGCTCCTCGAGTGTTGGTTGTCTGCCCAGCAAGTGTTTCTCAGCGTGTCTGGCACAGAGAGCCTACCTGTGCCAGGGGTCTCTGGTCCAGGAGAACATGGAGACACCTTATTGCCAGCACATGGACAGCTATGTTCCCTGGAGGAATGAAGTACCAGGTGTGGGGGCCCCATGTGGGAATGGAGGTTGAAAACCTGGCTGTGGACAGAAATGGAGCTGCCCTGTTGGGCAGGGGACTTGGACAGGACAAGGAAGAGACTTCCTTTTTCTGGGGGGTGTGGGTAATTCCAGGTGGCCCATGGAAGAAGGGAAGATGCAGAGAAGACAAAGCCCTCCTATGGGACCAGACACTGCACCTTCAGATCCTATCTGACTTAAGAAAGCGGGGAGAGAGAAGAAAAGAAGAAAGAGGAGGGTGAAGGAACCTGTTGACCACCTGCTCTGGTCAGGTCACCGTGCTGGGTTTAAGAGAATGTATGAAACCTGGCACAGCAACTAACACATAGAAGTAAGTCCCTCAGTCATTAAGGCTTTATTATTACTATTGACATTAATGCCTCATCCTCGGAACAATGCCATAGGTAGATGTTATTTCTATTTTATAGATAACAAAGTTTATGTTCGGAAAAGAGAAGAGATTGGTGTAGGTGGAGTCCAAATTTAAACACAGCCTGTTGGACTCCAAACCCTGCAGAAAGAAGAGGTACAGGTCCTTTGCCAGAGCATGGCAAGGCCATAGCCGGTGTGGGTAAAGGTCCAGCACAGCAAGGAGGGAGAAGCAGGAAGGTGGACATGGGAAGTGGAAGGAAAGGAACTCCCTCCCTCAGAAAGCTCCCCAGGGTTGGGCCGCCTCATGAAGCTGTCCACCCAGGAAAGCAGGGGATTAAGGGAGGCCAGAGGCAGGGCTCTTCCTCCACTCCCAGCTGCCCCACAGCCTTAGAGCTGGGAGCCAAGCATGGGGCAGGTCTCTCCAGGAGGCAGGCTCTGCAGGCTCTGCGCATCAGCGGGAACAGGAACCACTGCAAGAGAGAAGCAGCCTTGGCATCTGGGTGGGGCTGTGCCTGGTGTAGACCAAGGCAGGCACTGCCTCTAAGTCATCTGTAAGCAGTCCTGGGTGCTGCAGGGGGTGAGGTGGTGCTCGGCTCCCAGGAATCATGCTAGTGAGCGCTAAGCCAGAGGCTATATACATATATTTATTTGTTGTTGTTGCCAGTATTACAGGGAATCAAGTTCTCTGATGTTTATGTATTTAGGCCAAAAGAACCCAAGGAGACACATGATTCAAAATAAAAGTCGATTCATCTTTCCAGGTCAAAGAGTTACAGAAGTGTCAAAACTCTCAAGCAAGATCTACTAGTGGCAGTCATGACCACACTCCGCTATTGAAATTCCTCTTTGCAAAGAAAGTGGTATGTGCTGTTTTTTTTCCAGCTGTAGTAATACAAATGATTTGCTCTGGAAACCTCGGCTATTTTACTGATAACTAATTTGTTTGCTAGTAAATGATTACCCAGGGGCTGGAGTGGAGACCCAGAAATCAAAGTGGAAAAATTATTAAATTACCTCTGTGTGCGGACCATTGTGCTACGTAATTGGGGCACTACAAAGGATGTGGGGTACAGACCTTGTCCAATAGAATTTATAGGATAATACAAGAAAGAAGACAGGAAAAGCAAAATGAACACATATAACTGTGATAGACAAGATCTGTGCTGCTCACACTAGCCATGGTATGATTACAATAAAGTCAGAGATACAAAGGAAGACTTCTTGAAGGAGGTGCTCAAGCCACAGGTCTATCAGGGAGAAAGGAGGGCAGGCAGATATTGAAACTACTCTCATGGTATTTTTAATGCTGCTCTTGTTCTTATTGGTCCATTTAGAGAAGACATAGTGCAGGAGGGATGAGAGTATTTGATTTAAGAAATGAAATAGGATCTTCTAAAAGTAGATCGGAATTTGTGCTCAAGTAGAGGTCAGAGCCGGGTTTCAGAAATGCTTGGAAAATTGCTGGTTTTGCTCCTAGGACCCGATGCTTTAGTGGTTGGATAGTCCACGTGAATGTTTGCTTTCTCTGCTCATGCAAATAGCAGATCTCCCTGTTAAATAGTTCTTCAGGACCTCACTTCTTCAGTGGAGAGGATTTCGAACTGCCATTGTGGGCAATGTAGAACCATCGGAGGATTTGAAGTAGAATAGTTAGACAATCGTCTGTGTTTTAGAATGGTAATTCTATCAACAGGTTCTATGGAAACATTTAAAACTCTATTAGTATTATGGTTGGGTGTTACTTTTGAAATACTATATGGTCTTCCTTCTCCTGATATCTCTTTCTTAACCCTCTCAGCCACTTCTCATCTTGCTGCTTTGAGCAAGATTAGTCTGTGCTCATTGCCTCAGTGAAGGATGCTTAGCAGAGAACAGAGATATAAAGGCCTACTTTGCTGGCTTTTGAGTGTTTCAAGTCGAAGCCCTTGGGATGAAGGAGAGACCCCAACATATACTAGAGATTTGGGAGTATGTGATGTTCCACCTGAAGGTCTCTGTCCACATCTCTGAGGTGGAAGTGGCTCAGAAGGAAAGTAAGAACTTACAGTCACCAAGGGATTCCTGAAAGTGGGACTGAGTGTTCCTAGCTGATGGGAATGGAACCCAGTGACAGAACCTACCAATTAATCTGTGAGACTGGAGAGAGGAGGGACCTGTTTCTTCTACGATAGAGCCCCAGGAAGGTGGCAAGACCCTAAAGAAATGGATTTGGGTATGTCTAGGCAGATAGGGCTGTAGATTCAGCCTCACAAATTTTCCTAGGCCACAGCATGGATTATGAGCAAAGAATGCCTCCCATGCTGCCAATAGGGGAAGAAAAGAGTGGCTGGCTTTTAACAGACTTAGTGGCAGGAGTGAGGGGACAGCTCAGCTGCCATCTGCATGGACAGATGACCAAAGGCAGATGAGACAATGGTGGTCTCAGCAGATGCCAATGTGGATAGATGACTGAGGACTAGATAGAGACTCTCACATTCTGCTAAGTGAAATAAGTCAGACAGGGAAAGAAAGATACCATACAATCTCATTCATATGTGGAATCTAAAAAACCCTAATAAACAAAAACAACAACAACCAAGTTCATACATACAGAGAACAGATTGGTGGTTGCCAGAGGTGGAGGGTGGTGGTGGGTGAAATGGGCAAAGGGAGTCAAAAAGTACAAACTTCCGGTTTTAAAATAAATAAGTCCTGGGATGTAATGTACAGCATGGTGACTATAGTTAATAATACTGCATTCATATTTGAAAGTTGCTAAGAGGATAGATCTTAAAAGTTCTCATCATAACAAAATTTCTGTAATTATGTATGGTGGCGGATGTTAGCTACACTTATTGTGGTGATCGTTTTGCAATCATTACACTATACCCCTGAAACTAATATAATGTCGTATGTTAATTATGTCTTAATTTTAAAAAGTGAGAAAAAGAAAAGAATAAAAGACTAGAGGCCCTCAAATACACACACGCGCACACACACACGCGCACACACACACACACACACACCCTTTAATGTCCTAGACAAAGATACAACCTTGAATTCATTGAGATAAAGTTTTGACTGCTCTAGTGAAATGAAGGTTAATGTAGAAGTTAAGTTGTATTATAGAAAAATAAAGAAAAATTTACATATCTGTATACTAAGATTGGTACCTGCTACTGTCTGTTGTTAAATGATAAAGATTTTCTTTCAGTTAATTTACCTGGGATTCTAATTGACTTTCTAGAGGATTTGGCTGGAACTTTGGGATTTTTAATGTCACAGGTTTTAGTCCTGATCTATCTTTTTGCGCTTAATGTTGTATTCCCATAATTACCAAGAATGCTGAAAAATAATTATTAGGGTTTCCCAAGTTTGTGTGAAGAGTGGCTACAGAGAAGAGTGGGAAGATCAGCATGTGGTGGATCGTGGCCTAGCCTGCCCATGGAAAGCACCTAAGTGGATGTAAGTAGAAAATTCTTTAGTCTTGTAATATAAGTGCAGATAAAGGGAAGATGCTTAACATGTAGCACTGGCACAGAAAAAAAAGAGAGATTGTATAAATGTTGTGCAATAAGTAATTTTGAACCCAAGTCTGGATATAGGCTTGTGAGATGTGGCTTGTTGAGTGGCAGGATTATTGCCTAATACAGTGATATAAATCATCTTTAGGTGCTGGCTTGGCCCTTCCAAGGGGAGAAGATAAAAGCCAGGAAGCCCCTTTGTTTTGGGCTCCTGAGTCAGGTTGATTGTTCATCCCAAGGAGCTTCTGCCCACGTCACCATCCGAGGTGTGTCTAGTTGAGGAACAAAAGGGGGACCCTGGGAGGCTGGCTGTTTGCTCTATTTGTGATCATTTCATTAAAAAATATTCTAGCATGAGTAATGTGATATGTGTTAACAATTTAATCCTTATCTGCTCTAACTCCTTGAGGGTGAATTAATTACTGGATAAAACAAACAAGTCGGTTCTTGTCTTTGTCAACAATTTAGGTTGCTTTATTTGCATAAAAAGTGTTAGAAGTAATTCTTGATTTACTGGAACCTGCAGATTTCTTGGTCTGTGTGTGGTTAGGTGTAATATAATTGGACTAACTGCCTTGTATGAATAAGGGATAAAAATCTGCAAGCCCGATAATTATGTCATCAGGGTAGGGCTGGGGTTGGATCCCTCTGGTGTGGTGTCTCCAGGGATAAAACTTCTCTCCCCTCTCTCCTCTCCCCACCATCTAACCATAGGAACACAGTCTCTGTGTTTGCTTCAAAAAGCCTGCTCCCTATACTTGCAGACTGGGCAGGGTACAAATGGAGACCCACATACCATGTGTCTAAATATTTAAAAACTGTAAATCCAGCTTAGAAAACTACATTATAGAATAACTTCTATCTTTTTGCCTTGAAAACCATATCTTCAGAGGGACCCAGAATGCCAAGTCTGAATACAGAATTCTTGTGCCCCTCAGAGTTCCACTTGCTTCTCCCAAACCCCCTTCTGTGTTTATTACTCACTTCTACCTCACTTGTTAAAGACACTCTAGCTTGAGTGTCCACCTCTCCATGAAGAGCTATTCCCTGGCCACTCCTCAATCCCAAATGTGAGCACAGCTGTGGACCGGCCCATTCTCAGGACTCGGGAGAGGCCTATGAACATTCTGGAGATGGCTTCAAGACCTTTGGGTACAGAATCTGGGGATCCTGGATACCAAAGAGTGGTCTAGAAGGTGAGGTGTGGGCTTTGGATGGACAAGTTCCCTGGGCCCTGTGACTTATTGTCCTGTCGGGGGAGGGCTCATGAAGATGGCCAAAGAGATACCCTTTAAGGACAGAGCCAGGAGAGGAAGCCCTCTTGCCTGGGTGTTTTTGCTGTTTACTGTTTGGGGGTGAGAAGAGAGAGAAATATCTTCTGAACTACAAATGAGTTTTTTAGATTAATTTTGTTTGCTCTCTAACAAAGTCCCCTGCGTTTGATAAAACTTGGTGTGAGCTAAGACTTGCTTCTATGGCAAACATTCCAATTGACAGTGAGTTTGTCAGGGTGGGGACATATGCTCCCACTTGTGTTCAACCACAGGAGGCTACTGATATTTTCTACAGTGGGATCATAACCTCCAGATGCAGAAGAAACCATGGCCTGAGAGTTCCATTTGTACCTGCTGACACCCATGCTGGATCTGCTATGTGATGAGTTAGTTGAGTCCAGTAAGAGCTTTCATTTCTCCCTCTAAACTTGAAAATGGAATTCTCAGGTGGATGGTATAAATTCACAAGCCTAAGGCCCCTCTCTTCCAGCCTTCTATGGACCTTTGGCAAGGACCATTTGTCTTTGAGCCTCATGAGACAGCGTGGATGATGGCCTCATCCAGCCCTAGTTAGGGGGCTGAGGAAACAAGGGTAGGTGAAGTGAACTCTAGTAATTTGAGGGTTTTCAGAAAACTGCAACAAGCCAGGAAAGCCACCACGTTCTCTGGGGAGGCAACAGGAGGAAGGAAGAAGGATGAATTTAGGAGGCAGCTGGATTCTAGACTCAACTCTGCTGAGAATTTACCAGTGAATTTATGCAAATCTCTTTCTCTTTCTGGACCTCAATTTCCCTACCTATAAAATGATGAATGTGAATTAAATGATCTAAAGTCCCTCCTAGTGCCAAACTTCTTAGGTTATATTTCGTCATTGGTGAAAGTGACTTCTAATGTCAGCAAAAGTCTCTTTCAGCTAAATAGTCTCCAATACATCAACTACTAGTGAGTAATGGGATACAAGGTGACTCATTAAAAATAGTCCACATTTCTTCTTCAGCACAAATGGGCTCCACTCTGAACGTGCAACAGGGATCCAGTGTCCTGGAAGGTTCAAAGAAGGGAGCCACATCCA